TTAAACTCCCCAAATCCCAGGTTCTCATCAAACAGCAGGACTCTGGGAGAGGGCTGATGGAAATTGCTCATTGCAGGGGACACAGTTTTGGTGCCATGTGGGAAGAGCTACGTGGGGAATGAAGAGGGAAGCAAATACAGTGTGGAGTTGCTGAGTACGTTGCTCCCAGGTGTTGTGGACCTGGGATAATGTGGAACAGGATTTCAAAATAAACCTGATTTCCCTGCCCATTGCAGGGGTTGGAATGAGATGATCCTTAATGCCCTTCCAACCCAAACCACTTTGTGATTCTGGATTTTAGGATGGGCTGTTTGTGATAGGGATGATGAGGAAGTTTATTAAAGTAATAATTAAAGACCCTCTCAAGGATATTTTTTGGCTGGGAAAGGCATCACAACTGGCCACCAGACAGATAATTTGCATCACTTTTGTTGTGGCTCTGAGTGCTTTTATTACAAATTGTGAATGCAGGAATGTTCTTCTCACCAATGTGCTCAACAAAAACACACGGATTCCTCTGGAATTCAGCAGTTTAGGCTCGGTCTCCAGAAGGGATCAGTGTTATCACTGTGAGCAGGCAGTTCAAGCATAATTTCTGCTGAATTACTCTCTCCAGCAGTGGGATGTTTTATCTGTCTCTTTGTCAGCTCCATAGAGATATCGCTGTGTTTTATTTGCCGATGGCCTTGATACACAGAAATGTATTCAACTGATCCACAAGTTAAATTTCTGTACTCGTGGATATCTCCTCATTCATTTCTCTTCTCTGTTTGCAGGAGAGAATAATGAATGTAATAACAAAATGGGTATGAACAACCAGTTACTAATGGTTGGAAGGAGACTTTGGGCTTGTTGTAGATTTTGTGCTTATTCATAGATAAATACACCAAAATTAAGGATTTTACTGAATTCCCTCTTCTTCCTTCTCCCAGAAAGTAACCTACCAGACCAAAACTACTTGTGTTATGAACTTTTAAAATACAGTCCTGAATTCACACACTTGCTTAAATAGGTTTGTCTTGGGCATCAGAAAGCCCCTGTTCCAGCTTTTAAAAAGTCATTTACACCATGGCTGGGCTTTATAAGCTTTGACCTCCCCAAAATTGTTCCAAGCAATGCCATCACAACCTTGACATGAGAATTGGGAAAAAAAAATGGAAGAGGAGAGAAGGGCAGCTGTAAAACAAGCAGGGAAGGTGGGCAAGAGCCCAAAACAAGTAACTCCTTTTTTTTTGGTGAGCTTGTGAGAATTCCTGCTCGCTCAGACCAGATGGAAAGAGCTTCCTCTGCTTTTGTTTTTAAACTGGTTTAATTCGGTAACTACGTGGGCTTTATTTATAGGCTTGCTCCAGCAATCATGGGCAGGCAAAAATAACTGCAGCAACCTGCTTCTCCTGCCCATGGATGTCACAAACATGAGTTAAAGCTGGGGTTTCTGAGATGTTTAATAACTATTTTTTGATACAGGCTGAGACCAGAAATCAGCAACTCTGGGGAGAGGGACACGGTAGCGCTCCAGCACTTCCCTGTCAGGACAGAAATCTGTTGTTATGATGTAGAAGTTTGGATCTGCACCTAAACATAGCAAGACTTGAAGGTCTTCAGTCTTTTTAATCCATCTCTGTTTAATTCAGACTTTGAAAATGGCCCTAACTCCTCTACACTGCTCCGTATCAAACCCAGTGGATTTAGCTGGAAAAACTGGAGTAAAATCAGGCTTGGTGTCTTGTGCCACTAAAGGGGGAGAAAAACACAAAGAGGACACCAAATGTTGCTGATTGATCACTGAATTGTTATTTTTACACGCAGTTCTCTTTGCCTGGGAGACTTGTGCTGGGATGTCTTAATGGGAAACAGTTTTCAGCAGTTTTTCATGCAAAAGCATGAACAGAGTGAACTGCTTCAGGAGTATTAAGGGATCACTTTTCTGCCTAAATGTAGTAAAATTGGAGTAAACAGCCTTCAGATGGGGATGTGCCACTACAATAAGAGAATGCTCTGAGCAAATTTCTGTATGGTCAATAACAATTTAAAATCAAGTGTGAATACCCAGGGAGTTGTACCTGTGTGTGTTCAGAGGTTATTCAGAATTTTCTAGGCAAGCACCAGTTTTCAGAAGGCTCAGTGTGGAGCTCCCACTGAATTTATCACTCTGAGATGATTTTTTCCTTAAAATATGCTCATGATTTCATTTTCAGAAAGCCTATTTAATTTGCAAACTGATTAGTTAAAATACAGGGGAGTACTGAGCTATAAAATAGATTTGTTGCTTACATGTTTTTTAATATCTCAGACAAATTTTCAGCAGTTCTTTAAACCGTGCCTGTCATAAAGTAGAATATAAGAGCTTTTTATTAATAGCTAGTTCAGATAATCACGTGAATTTTTTATGGGCTCAGATATTCTAGATTTGCTGTCATTTCTTCAAGTGGGCGTGAATTATGGGACTATACATCCCTAGTTCTCCCTGTCCTGTGCTCGGGTAAGGAATGGCCTTGAGACATCACAGCTCAAGAGCTCTGTGGAGGTATCCTTACATTTTAGCAGGGATTTTTGGCATGCTCACAGGTTTCCCTGAGTGGTTTCCCCATCAGTCACGGCAAAGGAATGGCATGGCTAAGTTGGCTTTTAAATCCTGCAGAAGCAAACATTAGTGTTGGTATTTCCTTGCCTTCTGCACAGTCCCTGGCTGAGTTTGGGTTTTTGGGTTCCCAGGCAGTGTCCTGGTGGTGACCAGTGGTGTCTGGTCTGCGAGGTGACGCACGCTCCGTGACTCGGCACTTGGGCAGCTCCGGGGCTCCTTCACCACGTTCTCCTTCCCTGTGCTCCTCTGCACTGAACTTACCACTCTTTTTGCTGAGTTAATTATATCTAGATTAGAATATAGAATGTGCAGTGTGTGCCCCTCATGCAGAAATGCTCTGTCAGTGCAGTGGTTAACTAGGGGAAAAAGCAGCAAGGATCCTAGGAGCTCCTTGTTTGTGAGCTCAATTAATACTAGGGTGCATTGAATGCTAAGTGCTGGCCCTCTCAATAAGGAACTGAACACTTTCTCTTGTGGTTTTGTATGTGTCAGTCCCAGGGAAAAGCCCTGATTCCATCCAGGATTAGAATTATCTCGAGCATCTCGTTAAAAACACACATCATTAATAATGATGGAGTCCTAAAGAACAAATATTTTTCATCAAGGGCATCATGACATCCTTACAAAAAAGCCCTAAAAAAAGCTGATTTAGTATCAGCTTTCCCCATCATGTGAAGGGAGGTTGCTTTCAATGCAACAGCACCTTAAACTCTGGGGCAGGAATTTTATTTTAGAACTGTTGGAATTAGAACGATTCCATCTGAGTGTCTGGATTAGCAATCTACATTATGGATTTCTCCTGGAATCAGGGACCCTATGCCACCACTGTTTAGCAGAATATCACCCTCCAAGTGATAAATTAGTAATACCTGAGCCCTGAGATATTTTCATTTAAATATGAATTTTTAATGCCAGGAGAAGGACCCAGCTTTTAACTTAGAACTGTTATTTGTACTCGGAGGGAGCAGATCGTTGTAGTCCAGACAGCCAGGCACGAGCAGGCTGGTGGAGCACCAAGAGTGAGGAGATCCATTCCTCTCCCTGATTTCCTAGTTTTACTATTGGTCTGTTGCCTTGGAATTTGACATTAAATTAATCCCAGTCCATGGCTAGGACATAGTTGCATATCATGTGATTATTTTATTTATTTATTTATTTTGAGCTAGGAGTTTTTTCATCTAGAAGCCAGATATTAACCTTGATACATGCAGCATTCCTGGCAGCCCGCTAAATCCGAGCACGATCCAGCACTTAAGAGGAGGGAATAAATTCCCAGTTTATATCAGACGTGACCTGTTACTGGTTTGCTTTCCCTTAGCACTTGCCGGCATTCAGCTGGGGGAAAAAGAAATGATTCTCCGAGGCTGGGAAAAACAGGTCCTAGAGCCTAATGAGTTAAATTCTCCTCCGTTCAGGATTTTAAGCTGCTTAGACACACAAGGTCAAAGCAAAGCGCTCCATTCCCTATTCCGACTCGCAGCTGAGAGGGGGGCACAGCTCCCTTGGGACAGAGCCCTCGGGAGACGGTGACATAAGCAGGGAATATATTCCCCGCTCCCAGCAGTGCAAGCTGTCCCTGTTTTGCCGGGGCCGGCGGCCCCCCCGCCTCCCCCGGGCAGATCCCATGGAACTGCAGTCCTGCATCCCCTCGCTGCCGTAACTCCCCGTAAACATGGCATTAACAGGCGCTGAGGTCACGGCACAGGGTTTTTACTAGCGAGGGAGGCACGATGGAATTGCAGAGCGGGAAGCTCAGGATGCCTTGAAGGATGCAAGGACTGTGACTTTGGGGATGGTTCCCTGCTCCCTTCTGTCCCGTTTTCCTACGGCGTTTCCACGGCATCCCCGATTTCTGTGTGGTCGGTGATGGTGATGGGGGACGCGAGTGTGTTAAAACGGGAGAACCCTGCACACTTCACTGAACAGCAGCAGCTTCAATCCTCGAGGAGGATTTTTGGGTTGGTTGGGCTTTTAATGAAGTGCCGTACTGCAAGTTCAGGGATGAACACATCCCGTGTTCCTCCATCGCCGCTGTACGGACACTTCATTAGGACGGCTGAAGTTAATAAGCAGCGGTAGTTCCTCGCCATCAGCCATGTGAAAAGCCAAAGCACTTCGTGCATCCTCCAAAAATCCTCCAGCTACCCCTCTCCCCTCCCAGGCACCGCTGGAAGGGGAGCAGGCAAAGAAACGCTGGTATTTTTCTAGAAGAAAGTCGCGTATGGGGATATTCTCTCCTTATCTGTCACGAAAGTTACTGGATGCAGGAGCTGTTCGCAGGCAGGCACATACGCTATTGCATAACGCTGGCGCTCAGCGCCAGCCTTTCTCCTCATCCCTACGAAGTTTTCCGCCGGCAGAACCAGCGGACGGGGAATTTCTTGGGGTCGGGGCGAGCGGTCAGCGCCTTACTTACCTTGTGCTTCCTCACGCAGAAGCGGCGGTCTGGGCGAGCATCTCCCTCCAGCCGCCGGGGCGAGCTGGGCGTCAGAGCCTGGGCGCCGGGGCGCATCTGCCGCGGAGCCGCCGAGCCGCCGGAGGAGCCGCAGCCGCCGCCGCCGCCGCGCTCCCCCGCTGCCCTCATGGGCTGCGGCGGGGGCTCGCTGTCGGGGGGTCCCCTCGGCCGGGTCCCCGCCGAGGATTAATACT